ATATATATATATATATATATATACTTTTTTGTGTTTTTTCTTTTTGTGGGAATTCAAATCCTTCCATATTCAAAATTTTAAATTAAAAAAATATGCTACCTAGATTGATTAGTAAAGACCTTATTAAATCATTACAAACAAGTGGAACCAAATATCCATCTTACCATAATTTTTTTATAAAAATATTAATCATAAATTTAAATCAAATTGCTTAAGACACGATATATGGTTTCCAAAATTATGAACGATACATGAAAGTCGATATGACTCGGTCATGCTAATAGATATATGTCACGTTAGTATCAATGGAAACCAAAAAATATTCTATAAATTAAAAATGATTGAGAGTATTTTTCTAATCGTAAGCAATGAATAGAATATTCTTTCCATCATGATCTATGTGTCTTTTTTTTTTTACTCTTTGTATATATAAAAAGATGTATTCGACTAACTTTAACATTAAAAGAATCAAATAGAGAACACATTTGATGCCGATCAATCCTTACATAATTCAATTCTAAAAACCTGATATGGTCTCTTCAACCAAAATAGAATGATATATCTATTTTGAGCAAAAGCATTTGAAGTATCCAATATGACCTTCTTAGCTAAAAACATATTTATGCACCCGATGCATTCAACTTGAGCAAAAGCATAGTCACTTCATTTGCCGAATTATTTTTATGTATTCAATAAGCCACCGATATTATTAGAAAGTTACAAAATCGGCTCAATATTGGTAAAAACAACTAAATAAGTGAGCTGACCGATGAAACTTTATGAATTTGACAACCATAGTATATTTGTTTTCCCTTTGTTTTAGATACTTCTTCAAATCCTTTTTAGATACTCAATTGACAGTGGCAACACTGGATGATGAGATGAGGCTTTTCCCAACAAAGGTGAAAAACAAAAACAAAAATGGAATAGTTGACTCACACCAAATTGTCAAAAATGACAAACCTAAATTGTCATCCATGGAAAAGTTGACCATGGTTTTGACTTGTCTTCTAAATTGTGCTCCTGTCTCCGGCTGCTTGTGTGCCTCCACCTTGAAACATCTGATCTTAACATGGGATGCTCTTTCTCATCAACAATAGCCACTGTATGTGCTCCAAGAATCCGTGAAGCATAGGAAGTGTGTGGTGAGAACTTCAGATGAATCCAAGCATCAGAAATGTAACAAAGGATATGGAAACCGCTGCAAAGAGTTGATGATGATTGCCATCGGCGTGCAGTCGATATGGAAACTGCAGCAAGGTGGTGAAATGATGAGTCGTGGTCATCTTCTTTCTCCAGAATACATGCAGTAGGAGTCCATCAGTTGTGCGGAGGGGGTTGAGGAAGCATCAGCGTGGCGAGGAATGGCACCACGAGAACTGCTCCTGTAATGGAATCCCGAGTCTACATCATGACATGCCTTTAGATGAACTCTCGGGCGGAGGAACTGATATGATCTTAACCGAACCAGTGCTACTATGTTGGTCGTCGACGCATTCAAACACCACATGGCGAATCAATCGTCGAGTACTTCCTTTTCCTTTTTCCCCCGTCTTGAATTCCCTGCAACTTTTGCTTTTCTGAGACCAGCCAGATCTCGCAGCAGATGCAACCACAGGTCGCTTTGGACGCAAAGGGAATAGGCGATGAACAGCGAGTATGTGTGTGTGCAATGGCAAAGCGTTTGCTCTCCGTCTGCTCCTGTCTTTTCCATCTCCAGAGTGATCATGACTCCATGGAAATCCACTCGACCTTTAGACTCTCAACACCAAGTATATGAATTGCATCATAGCATTATAATATGAATCACATGAGGTGCATGAGATATGGAAATTCTGATTCCCACAACCGATAGGGAATACTACTAATCGTCCCGAGCGCCTGAATTGGAAGCATCTGTGTCAGGGCTTGTGAAAACTATATTGTTGGTGTAGGCCAGTGGGGGATGATGCAAATGAGGCCAACCATGCATCACTCCGGTAAACAATGGAAAAGCTCACGCATCCCATCAGCTCCCACACCCTGTGCAATCAATCACACCGTGTGGGCTCCTTCCGAGCAACCCCAACATTCCAAGATTCCACCATCAAATCAAACAATGACAACAGAGCTGTCCTAGGAGTCGATTGATATCCACTTGTCTACCTCTTCTTCTCCTCTCCTTTCTTCACCTCAGCACACAAAATCTAGAGTTCTGTAGCACTAATTGGTACTGTCATTCACGGAAATCCTTGTCATCTTCCTCTTGGATTGGCCATCATAAAGTTGGCGGTGGGAAGAGTCATTAAAGTTAAGCCGGAAGAGTGGTGTGTGTGGGTCTCTGTTTGAGGAGTATTGCCTCTGCATACCGTGCCTTGGCGTAATCAGACTCAAAAGGTGTATTCATGGCGAAGGCTGTCTCTTTCAGCGTCATTTTCTCAGTGTCCGGGTGCGGTTTAAGACGAAGCTGGGTTTATTGACTCGAGAATACTTGGAGGACTTCTCATGGTGGCGGCCTCTTCGCCCTCCACCACCACCACCACTCGTAAAGCTAAAGCTGCCCTCTCGTCTTTGCTCTCCCTCTCTCTCTCTCTCTCTCTTTCTTACACACATATGTATGCCATTAGGATTGCTGGCCAAACCAGACAATTAAGGCTTGCACTGTTGACATACATTGTCATGCACAGAATTCCGAGCTCCCACACAGTGCACACCTCTACTGTGGATTGCACTTCTCGTGCTTGCCCTTGTGGTGCTTTTGCGACCTTGGCTTTCTCCATTCGCTCACACCAACACACTGTCTCTCTTAGGTTTCCACTTCTACCATCTGACAACCAAAACCCAGGGAGGCTTCTCTCTTTTCTCTCTTTTCCTTTTATTTGTACATCGCCTCAGACTCCCTTTATTCTCTTAAGGGCTACGAAGAGGAGGGGGAGACCGCCTTGGTCTTCGGGAAAGCGACGAGAACCCAGATTCCCTGAGGCATGCACCCCTTAAGCTAAAAGGACATGGATCTTTCGGCCATTTCACCCTTACACCTTCCTTTACCTCGCATTTCCTCCTCTCTCTCTCTCCCTCCTTCTCGTTTTCCATCGTTTCAGTGCATGACTGCGTGCTCTTCCACTCTTATCGCTAACGAATTCTTGGTGGGTTGCATGGATTTTAGTGAGATCTTGGCTTCTTCAGCTTTGTTCTATAGCACAATCCTACATACATCAATATGTGTGACGCTGAGGAGTGCAAAAAAGGAGGAAGAGAGAGAGAGAGAGAGAGAGGATAAATAGTTGTGACGTGTTCGAGGAAGAACACAAATCAAATCCAACACCACACTGCGCAAAATAAAGTTCATGTCTCTCTGTCTCCCATCTGCATGCGTGCAGATGTTCATGGATCCATGTATGAATGAGAATACACATCAATGCATTGACATACTCGAAACATTAATATGAAAAAGATATATATATATATATCCATCATAAGATCACACATGTGAGAACCTATCATTTGCTGATACATAGCACTTATGACCACTGATTAATCCATTGAAATGCAGAAGTTAAATGGACAAATTCCTTGTATGGAACGATTGAGGTTGTCAAGCTTACAGTGGATGACAATGCATGGGAAGACATGAATGAATACACATGGATTCCTGCATGGAATGTTGGTCAAAAGCTGTTCTACTTGGCTATATCTCAAAAGGTGAGAACTAATGCTTCATAAGAGCTTTAATCTGAATGGAATCACACAGAAGTGCAGCAAAAGGCTTCAATTGGAAACACTGCCACTTTAAGCGATATAATAGATCTAGAAGTTGAAGAAGATGAGAGCTTCTCAATGGAATTTTCTTGGTTGTGGAGATCGATCATCCAGGTGTTGAAGTTCATGAACAAAAGCATTGTCATGAGTTTACATGTAACTTCATTTTCCATATCATGGCATCTCTGTGCCTAAATGAAGTATTATCGTCCATGCCAACTCAGGATCGAAAAGCTTCAACACTTCATGCATTAAGATTCTATAAGCGGAGTGTAAGATACAACAGCACATTAATTAGAGAACATGAGGAACAACACCAATCCAAATAATCTGAAACAAGAAACCTACCTACCATTGCTAGAGCTTCTTTTACAGAGGTTTTGCTAACAGATGCATGCCATCCACCATATCACAAGTTAAACCGGTTTTTAGTACTCACTCTACTGCTTCATCTTCTTCCTCCTCCAGTAGGTCTTCTTGAAGCCATTGCAAAAAAACTAAGCTTCCACGTTATAGAACCATCAGTGCAGAGGACATCGCATTAGAATATGTTGCTAGATGAAGAGTTGAATCCGGAGAGATCTGTCATCCATCCTCCGGTGCTACTGCTGCTGCCTCCGCCGCTCCAGAATTGGTCGTTGCGAGAAACACCAAGATACGGTCTCGGAAAACCAAGCAGCTGTTGGCTGTCATCCATCTTCACCGAAGCCAGTTGGGTGATGAGTCCGGAATTGGTCGGTTTTGTTTGAGCTTGCCCTGTCGATGAACCACCGATGAACCCACCACCATCACCGACGAAAGAGAATAGCCCGGAAGCCGGTGTTGGTGCAGGTGCCGGCGGCTGTGGGAGGTCCAGTCCGCCTATCAGAGAAAACTGCTGCATTTGCTGAAGCCTCAGGTTCTCCATCCCGACGCCGCCGCCTGGGGCGCTGCTGCCGCCGCCACCCAGCTGGTAGTCCAACGTATCCACGGGTTGGATGCCTGAGAAGCTCACACCAAAGTTGGTCGCTGCGAAGTCGGGAAGCGGGTGCAACGAGGCCATGAACGGCAGCTGCGAAGCGAGCAGCGTGGTGGATGCGATTGCACCACCTACGCCCGACGACGTGGCCGTGGAAGACGAGGAGGAGGCACCGGTCTGGGTGGTGGTATTCGAGGACTTCGAGGAGCTACCGCCGGCGGTGGACTTGGTCCTCTTGTTGCGCCGGCAACCGCCGCCGACGGGGACGTTTCGGAGGGCCCCCCCTCGCGTCCAGTAACGCCGGCATGTCTTGCAGAAATGGCGCGGTTGCGACAAGGAGTAGTTGTTGAAGTAGCAGAACTTGGTGTTTGTGGAGTCGCAACGCGGGCACTTGAGCCCGGGCTCCGGCTGCGGTATCTTTGCCAGCCGAGCTCGGTCCGCCATCGACCCGGGCCTCATCAGGCCAGCCATACCACCGTCAGGGCGCGGCGCTGCCAATCCTGGTGGAAGCTGGGAAGCCTCACCGCCACCGCGGCCGCTGTTTCCCTGCTGGTGAGCCTGTTGCTGCGGCAACGAACAAGCAGAAAACAGAAAGAAAGGGATAAAGCACCAAATCGGAGCCACCGGTGTATTCAAGCAGAGATTTCGAAGCAAAAGGATGAGGATTTTTGGGCTCTTTCGTTATACCTTTTGGACATGGAAGGCGTCGGAGGAAAAGATGAGACAAGGAAGAAGAGAGCTCACCTGGTTCCAATTAGGTGGATCAAGAAACACAGGAACTGATGGGAAAACCATGGTTGCACTCCGTTCCTCCACCACACCTTCTTCCTTGGCGATCTATTTCTCTTTTGTCAAAAGGTTGATGGGGTTAAGAAGTGGTGGAGGGAGTTGCAGAGAGCACAAAGGAGGAAGGGAAGGGAAGAGAGATAGAGAAAAGGAGAGAGAAAGGAAAAGGAAGGGTCTTATTTCTCTCCTGAGTGGCTTATATATTATAATTGTCATGGTTGTGTCTGGTTGGTAGAGAGAGATTCTTAGCCTTTAAGCTTTTAGGGTGATGGCATATGCAGGAAGGGAGAAGGAGGGAAGTGGTGGCCGCTTCATGCATGACAAAGGTGAGGTAGAAATGAGATGGGAGGGCTACATCCTCACTGTAAAAGAATATAATGGAGAGACAGATGGCTATTCTACATGTTCTAAAGAGAGAAAAAGGTAGGAGGGGAGGGGGAGGGGGAGGGGATTAAAGCTTGTTCTGTCCCTGGTAGTAGTATCTGTAGGCAGAAGATAAATGAAGATGCAGGAGTCTTAAAGCTTGACATGTATATGTGTGTGTGTCTCCACATGTCATGTGGGTGTCAACAGCACCACAGTGTAGATGATTGACATGTAGTCGATGATGTGTTCCATTTATTCCACCGGACATGATGGATTGCTTGAGTGATGAGCACTTCAACCTTCTCCGTCTGTCTCATTAAAGTGGATGGTAGAGTTTCTTGTGGAAGCTTTTAGGGTTATCTTCCACTTCCACTTTGCACATTCTATTCATCCTCTTGCTCGTGCTATGATCGATCCTTTTTGTTGGTTCCAATTGTATAAGCTCATAAAGAGAAAGTGATTAAATGACATGGAGAAGCATAAGAGACGTAGATTCGTAACTCATTTTGTAACATCTTACGATAAATATCTTACGATAATTTTTTTTCTAATTTTTTTTATTTTTAACACATAAATAAGTGATTTTGGTATATCGAACTCACTTAATATGCCTTCACGACTTATCTTTTGCATTCAACTTATCATCTTATAATCATATTTTGATAAAAATATTTTTTTATCAAATTTGATTAATTTTTTTCTAACGAATTAACATTATACTATTGTCTATAAATTTATAAGTTTCTCTGGATAAGTGAATAAGAATTATAAGAACCAAAATAAACCAAATAAGAAGAAAAATATGACCATTTGATGTTTTCTTTCCTTTTGTTTGGTTTTATTATAATTATAATGGGTTAGTGAAATCATAAGAGTTGGGGATCTTTGGCTTCTATTGTGTGCATGTAATGGACCTTCTAAGATTCATACATCCCATGATGTGATCGTATGTACCACATGCAGTTGATTGATCCTCCACCCACAATGCATGCCTTATCCGTAGTGATACCCAATTATGTGATCATACTAAAGAATTGGGTGATGTTTCATTGGTTGGGTTTCTTATTGCACCAAAATTATAATCATTGGGTAGATGTAAAAAACAATTATTGTTCTTTTGTATTAGTGACGATAATTATTTCATTCTCAATTTCATTTTTATCGGACAAATTATCCTACGTTACCAATCTGTACAAATTGGAAAGACGTGTGGGACGACTCCGCCCAACGGTGGGCCCCACGCCGCAATTATGGGCCGGGCCCACGTTATGATCCAACCAAGTGATGGCGCCGCGTCCCCGCGGGGCCCGTGCGGGGGTACGTACGTGCTGCGGAAGTAGTGGGTCGGCGGATGGGGTCCACCAAACGGAGGGCCATAAGATGCACTGGAAAGCACCCCCGACTCCTACGGGCTGACCCGCACGTGTCAGGATCTTACGGTGATGATGAGGTACATGTAGACTGTGCACCAAGCAATCTCATCCGTCGGACTCTATTTTCGTGTACCGGTGGATTTTAAACCTAATTCAAAATCTATTTGGAGTTTATTATTATTTCAGAAATTATCGTGATATATATTTAAGCAAACTAAAATATTAGATAGAATCTTTGAGTGATTTATCTAAAAAAAACTATTTTTTCTTTCTTTCCCAAATAATATCTTTAATTTTTGTCGAAAATATCGTATCTTTAGCCTATCGTCACCATCCTCCTTCCCCACCCATTGTCTTTGTCTCTTCTTTGATGCTCCTATCTCAAATGTAACGTCTCCATTGTGTTGCCTCATTTTACACCCATCACCTATCATTATGCTCGCTTATCAAATCCTATATATTGTTTTCGTCATCTCTGTATTTCTTTATTTTTTTCTCATCAATTATATATGCTGCCTTCGCCTTTATTCTTCTTTATGGGACAAAGCCGATTGAAGTGATAAGTGAAGAAGATAGTCAACACTAACGATATGAAGATGACAATGAGAAAATATTTTTTTTATAATTATAGAAATTAGAGATATTATCTTAAAAAAATATATGCTATATGATAAAAAAAACAAAAAAGAGAGTTTTTTTTTTAATGAAAATCATCCTTATATTTTATTATTTTCATATAATAAAAAACCATACAAATCTTTGGTGGATTATGTTAATTGTTTTATAATTTAAATTCAATTTTGTATTTTTTTTTTCATATAATTTGAAACCCAAATCCATCTTATTTAGGCTTCAACGGGCGGGAATGCAGCTAACGCTAGTAGCGACATCGTTCATCCGCTTACCAGACGAAACAACATATTACAGTGGACGCGATCGGGAAGAGCGAGTCGACGCATCATCTCCTCTGCTTCTCCGACATATGACCCAGAGAAACCTTAGACCACAGATCTCCGGAGCAGAGCTGTGATGGCGGGATTCCTTTCCAAGCTGAGACGGATCCACCACTCGGTCTACACTGGACCCTCTTGCTCGGATGGTAATCTCGATCTCTCGCCTTCATCCTTGTCAAATTTCTCATTGAATGAATTGGTGTCTCAAAGATTATATAAAAAGAGTCGCTTTCTTCTTCGTTTTTTTCGTTAGAGGTTTGGGGAGAACCTGGTGTCAGCGACCATTACCATAGCTTGGATCAAGATTATGTGTTACTTGGGCGTTTTTATGAGGTAATTGATTGAATTCGATTTGAATCTTTGATTTCCTATGAAGCACCGGCGAGAAGGCTTTTCTTTTAGGGGAAGAACTTCACTTTTCCCCCTTCTTGAGAGACACGGACTCATGTTCTTGTAATTGGTAAAATGGATTTGGTTATCGGTACTCATAAAGACCGATTGTTGTTAGTATTATTACTGAGATAGGATAAATGCCAGAAGAGCTTCTTCCCATGCTTATTCCTCTTGGCTCTTGACACATGGTAAAATGCTTATTTCTCTTGCCTTATGCACTACATTGTCCATGCCTTATATTGAGTTAGGTAATTATTCTCTGGTTTCTTGTAATTAAGAACAAACATGGTACACTGGAATCTTGGAAGAGACAAAGGGCTAGATGGATTAAACAAGCTGATTTTGTCCCAAATAGAAATAAACATAAATCTCAAGTACACAGCGAGAGGATTTCTGCTCTCTGTGTGATCCCTATGCTATAATATGCGTTCTAGGCCATAAATCTCATGTGGGTTAGTGCTTTTCATCAAATTTTGGTATTGGATTTTATTGTTGATCCTGCAGCTTGTTCTAAGGTGATTGTTTTGTGATCTTCAAATCAAATACATTCCATAGGGGACTTCGGATATTCATGCATACAAAAACCACATGATTTTATCACGTTGTACCATGGACAAAAATTTTAGATTGACTCCACTGCTCATTGGAAATAGTTGTTTATGTATGATTGTCCCCCAACTTTCACCTTAAGAAACTGATGGATTTGTTTTCCTTTTTACCAATTTTCTACAATTATTGTCATGAGACACGAATACTCAGAGTCTGTTGGATAGGTATGCTTGGCCAACCAATATCGAGGTCAAGTTACGTGAGTGAGTAGGAGTAGGCGCTCATGTTATTTTCTGCATTCAATTTTTGTTGTAGATATTTGAGGGTGCAGTAAGTGTCAAAATTTTATGAAGATGAGAAAAGTGATGGAATGATTGAAAGCATTTGGGATGAGAAATTCAAAATTTGAACTGATGGAACACACACCATGTGGAAGAGTTTTCCAATATCATGATTATCAACTTTTTCGGATATGTAAATTCATTTTACTTTTGAGGTTGCTATTGCTGTGTAACCGAATTCCAAAATTTGATTATATTTTCTAACATATTGATTTTCTTTAGACATGATACAGAAACAATATGCTGCTACTTTAGTTCAGTCATATTTATCACGCTTAGCACAATGCAAATTCTACTTCACTTGACTGGCACTACGTTGTTCTTAAGCATATCAATAACACTAGTTTTCTTGAGCGTAAGTATTAGATTGTTCCGTTCAGTCTACTATAGCCACTGAACTAAACATTTTATCCTGTACCATTCTCTTTACAGATCATTAGGTGTTCTTTCTTCTGTAAGCAAGAGGCACTTGGCTTTGCACCTTTCGGTTATTATGGTTTAGGTATGAAGTTTCCAGTTAGATATGATGTGTCAATCCCTGCCCCTGCTACACTTACATGATCTATTTATTTGTTATTTACAATGTCCAGGTACAGCACCTTTCAGTTACTGTGCCCTATTGGCATCACAAGTGAGGTTGCCGAATGCATTGCCTCACATCAAGGTACTCAAAACATGGGAATCAATTTACCTGTTTCAAGTATGTTTGTATCTTATGTCAATTTTAAATGTTTTCTACCTTTGAAATCAATACTTATTGTGTCACATCAAGATACTTAAAACATGGGAATGAACATAACTTTATAAGTCCTTTTAAACCTTTAGAATCAATATTCCTTGGTCATTTTTTGTACATGATCAAAGTTTGAGAAGTTATTGTATTAGGATACCCAACACATGGGTGCTGCTTGGTTTAAAGTAAAAGCTGATTACCTGTAATGCCAAATTTCTGTACGGTTTATCCTAAAGCTAGACACATAAAATAATATTGATAGATCAGTAGTTCTCTGGCAACTGACGTATACAGTGGAACTCCCAGAACCAAGTTTTAGTTTTTCTTGCCTTGTTGATTTTATATGCGTGGAAAAAAGATAAGAATCTTCTAGATAAGAATGGAATTCATAATAGGGGGCCTACTCTTGTGTTAAATAGGACTCTGTTGATTACCCTTTAGTGTCACACCGACCTCTACTCTCCTTGATTCTCACTTTAGTGGTTGTTATCAATCTTCCTGTTGGTCTGTTCCTCATAGCTTGTTTGCATTAGAAAAAGGTTAATTATGTTATGTTATACTATATGTAAATATGACACAAACACACACACATGGAAAATCACAGACTTTAATGCTTTCAAATAGTATATCCAATTGTGTGTCATCAGAAGTAAGAAAAAATTGAAACAGAGAAGTTCTAGTAAATGAGGTCAATGTTGTAAACTTTGCAAATAGCTATACGGGGAAAACTTTGTTTCAAAAGCTTCTTATCACTCCCATTTTTTGCTGGAAGAGAGTGCTCTGACATTAAACAATATCCACAAGACAATGACTTTATTTCACTAGATATGTGAGTGTTCACGTGACAGTGTAACTTCTGTCACTAGTGCAATACTGATGAGGCTTTTTCTATTTCTTCTTCTTGGGACATCTGGAGGTTTGAGAATGATCATCAGGGTTACAATTTTAACCAATTTCTGTACATGTTAAATGGTTTTTTGCTTTGTGGCTAGTGCAGGTATTGCCATTTGACTAGCTTCAGTAACACAAGGTTTCCACTCTTATTTTTGCTGAAGAATTGCTGCATTACTTCTGCTTGCCTTGCGTAATTCTGAAACTCCCTTCTTTTTCCCCCCAGAATATAGTACATTCCCGTGCCATATTTAAAAGTTTGGCATAATTTTAGACTGAAATTTTGGCTAGTAACAGACAGGAAAGAAGTACTGCTTGGTGTTCATCTGATAGGATTCTTGCTGCTTCCAGTTGTGTGCTATCCAAGGGAAGTAAAGCTGATTGGAAGATAAGGATTTGTCGGTTCACTGGCTCAATCTCATCACTGAGGACTGAGACAAAGTTGGTGGTGGCCAAGCATTTCTGTGGGCACTCTGTGTGTGGAGCTCCCACCCCCATGCTCCGCACCTTCCTGGTAATAGAGATGCGAGGTCATGGTCATCATACGTCTGGACTCTTGCAAGCCACATACAAAAGCAAGATAGTTATGTGGGGGAGCTCCACATTCACAGTCGAAACTAATCATGCACGGGCCCAGAAAAGTATCTGCAGAGACGTATTTGATTCTTCCTCTTCTGTTTGGTTTGCGACCTGCTCTGCTCATCAGGATCAGTAGATAACTGTACATGGGTGTCAGACGGCATATGCACTCGGAATATTCATCTTCATTAGCATATAGATATGAGTCAGTATCTCGATTACTTTTTAGTGGTATAATTCAATGGTTGCAACGTTCTCATCCACATATTTATTTGGCTCTACGTTTCAGATGCCCAGGACATGAAACACAGACGCTGCATGTAAATAATGGAAGAAGTCTGCATCCAAATGTGCAACAACAGAGGGCAAAAAGGCAAGTGGTCCAGCAAGAAGCTTGTCAAGACTTCAAGTTCAACTTGTCTTTCCCTTCTGTATGCTTCAGCTGGTGGTATCTCAACTTTATGTTCTCCAAACCAACTCGGTGAGATACCAATATGATCCATCATAAGACTTATCTAATAATAAACATCTTAATGATTATATTGACTTCCTCGTAACCATAAGCAATGTCATCCGTCAATTCATAGCATTACAAAGTGCACCAGACTATAAAGGAAAAGGACTCTGTTTCTGTTCCCTTCCATGTGTTGCCTGGTGCCTGCCCATAGTTTAGAATCCTTGGATCTAATATGGAGATACAGTCCAAATGAGATGATGTGGAACAAGTGGTCGTAGCCTTTCTTTTTTACCACTCTAAGTCAGTAGTCTCCTTTTAAACAATGACTTAAGGATAGGCTTTTAGTTTCTTCCCTTCTGGGGATATTGATATTCTTACATTGCACCTTTATTCATGGTCATTTTCTTGAATGCTGTGACTATTGACTTGTTTGGGGATGAATTGCATCCATGGATCTCACTGTGAGGAGTTGTTGGCTCTGCTTTTGAACTGTCAAAGCTGATATCCAACATGGAGAGTGCAATAGATATAGGTCTACTGGCTCTGAATAGCCTACAGATTCTAGACCGGGTATCAATTATTGAAAAGTGCACCAATGATTCATGAAGCTTTTTCGGGGGTGGATAATAATTTCAACTACTCAACAGTGATTGATTGATCACACCATCATCAGTAAGCTTTTTTGCAATCTTTCACTGAAGGGTCTCTACAGACTTTTTTTTTTTTCACTAGTGTTGTAGTTCCCAGCATGTTCAATTTCCTGGGAATACCAGATGACTTTTGATTCCTGTTTTCTGAATTATTCTTGTGTCTCTGAAACTCTGTGGAGATCTTATGAATTCATCACTTCTTAAACCTGTCCAAATTAGCTATGCTACTGATGGTCTTTTATACATGCTGTTACATGAAGAACATTCAACTCTGTTGATTTCTAGTTCTCATAAACTTGATGCTCACAGAATTATGATTATGTCATAAAATTTTAGCATTATAGTGAATATGTTAATCATAGATTTCTCATTTAAGGTGCTGAGCCTTTGCTTCAACTTTGAACTTGCAGATTTTGTTGGATTAAAAGTAAGCTGATGTGTGCCCTTACAACTATTGCTTGCACTAGTTATCAAACTGCTTGTTGCATCCAAAAATATTCTTTGGTAGGTACAGAAGCACAACTTTGAGACACCAAAGGTTGCTTACTGCATGCAGCTTATCTACTTGGCAGTTTTCAGCTTATATAAGCAGCTGGAGAAGTTGGAATAACACTACAGGCATCTTAATATTCTACTCTTGTCTTAGACTGAGAGGACTGGTTCTCTATTCTATTCGGAAATATCTTATAATTTCTATCAATAATGTTTAAATACCAAGGATTTTATTTTATTATATTTTCATTTTGTGAATCTCCCTTGGTATTGTGTTGTGTTAAATCATTTATTTTCTTTTATGTATGACTAAAAACCGTGTGAGTCGATACGAGTATTCAAATACATAAAATATTTTTTTTTTCAGTATCAAATTAATCCTAATTTAATCATCAGAGAAAATTCACTAAGCAAACATTCTACGATTATGGATCATTTGCATCGTTAAAAAATTACATAAAAAATTTTCATCATAATTTGTGTCATGAAAATATGACATTCAACATTATTCTCTCATGGGATCATTCACATTGCATCGAAAATTTTCATTCTAATTCATACCGAAAAAAATGAGAATCCTTATCCGACACTAGTTTTACAAGATCATTCGCATGAAAAGAAAAAAAAAATCTGAATTCATGGACTGATCATCAAAATTTGATACTTGCAGGATTTGAGTAGTATATGTTTTTTGTTGGGGGTGTTTAAGAGTTAAGACCTCAACGCTCATATCCATCCTGCTCTACACTCCACCAGCATGAGTCCCTACCAGCGTATGAAAGCGTCCTATCTATTGCTCACATGCCGAGAGATAGGCACATTAGACCCATCTCTTTTTGACCAACACCTCTATAATTGAAGAGAAGGCCACGCAACCGACCCAAGCCGGCGTCGCAGTGACACACAGACTCTCTCTCTCTCTCCCTCCCCCTTTGCAGATAAACCAAACAACGAGCGGAAGCAACAATAATAACTCCCCCCCTCTGATTTGTGCAGCACGCCCCTCAGATGGAGGCGGCGAGCGCAAAGGAAGCTTCAAGAGGCATCCTCCACCACCCTTCGCCGCCGCCTCCCTCGATCTTCCGAAGGTAATCTTCTGCGACTGATCACTCTAACTGAGGCGCGCTAGGGTTAGGGTTTGGGCCAGGCCTCCTCTCGATCGGTGGCTGGGAGAGGATGGGGTCGGATCTGATCCTACTTAGTCGGCTATTCCCTCCCGTATTTGGAGGGTTCCGGGGGGTTTATTAGCGGCGGATCCCGGAAGTTGTCGACTTTCTTTGTCTTTTGTTCCTGTTCGATTCCTCTTTCCTTGTTCTAGGGTTCGCTCTTTTGATCGTGAGTGATAGTGGATGATAGAAAGGGTCTTCCTTTTTGTTTTTTCGAAAGGGAGAAATTTGTTATAGTTTTTTGTTTTTAATTGGTGGTGGGATTTATAGGATGGAATTGTGAGGATTTCATGTGGTTGTGGATCTCGAATCTTGATAGATAGATAGGAGCCGAAGAGGAGAGAAGAGGTGATCGAGGGAAGAAGAGACGGAGAGGGGCGAGCGAGAGCACGCCATGGGGGAGTCCCTTCTTACTGCTCTCTCCATGGACCATCACCACCACCACCACCACCACCCCTCGACCCTTCTGTCCATGGACCCCAGCGGCGTTTCTCAGCCGTCACTCGCTGCAGCTTCCGCCCATGACGACTACGACCATGAGCTTCTGGGCCAGCAGCGCCCGCAGATCACCCTCTCCGGCCCTCCTGACATCAATCTTCCACTCGCCGGTGACCGCTCCCCTCCCCAACAGTCGTGGAACCCTGTCTCCTGCGACATGTTGGATGTCCGCCTCGGAACCCAGGTGTATGACGCTGACACCGCGCTCAACCTCCCCAAGGTTGGGATCATTCCTGCTGGGGGGCGCAAGTGCGCCAAGCGAGGGGATAGCATTTGGGGTGCATGGTTCTTCTTCAATTTCTATTTCAAGCCTGTGCTCTCTGAGAAGTTCAAGGGCAAGATCATCCATGATGCAAATGGCTTCTCGGGTTTCGATAAGTCCGACCTGTGTCCTGATGTGTTCCTTGTTCAGCATGACATGGAGAATATGTACATGTGGGTGTTCAAGGAGCGACCGGAGAATGCACTTGGAAAGATGCAGCTGCGGAGCTACATGAACGGGCACTCGCGTCTTGGGGAGCCTCAGTTCCCATTCAGCGTCGACAAGGGCTTTGCAAGGTCACATCGGATGCAGCGCAAGCAGTATAGGGGGCTGTCAAATCCACAGTGTGTCCATGGAATTGAGGTCGTGTGGTCACCAAACCTTTCTATGGTTTCCGAGGCGGATTGCAAGAAGTGGGTGGATCTTCTTGGGAGGGACCTGAATTTCTCGATTCCACCAGAGGCTAGTGATTTTGGGTCATGGAGAAATCTTCCGAGCACTGATTTTGAGCTCGAAAGGCCACCACCTCCTTTAAAGAATATTTCTCACCTTAATTCGAGGAAATTGCTTAATGGCACAGGCCTTAATCTGTCAACACAACCATCTCATGCAGGTGGAGATTGTATGGACCTTTCACCAAAATGCAGCAAACGCAGGAAGGATTTTTTCCCCCACGGGACAGATGAGGACTGCTGCTTGAGTAACAACTCATACTGCCAAGATATGGAAATTCGCCCTTCTGAACCGTCATGGGTAAATGAGTTTACGGGTGTTATGAGGCATGCGTGTGGACCGGTGACTGCTGCGAAGACAATATATGAGGATGAAGAAGGGTATTTGATCATGGTTAGCTTGCCTTTCTCTGACCAGCAGAAGGTGAAAGTCTCTTGGAAAAACAATCTTACTCATGGAATAGTAAAGATATCATGTGTCAGTACTGCTCGGATGCCTTACATAAAAAGGCATGATAGAACCTTCAAGCTGACAGATCCTTCCCCGGAGCATTGTCCTCCAGGGGAATTTGTGAGGGAAATACCTCTTGCTACACGAATTCCTGAAGATGCCAATCTGGAAGCATACTACGATGAGACGGGAACTGTTTTGGAGATTATGATCCCTAAACATCGAGTTGGATCTGAGGAACATGAAGTTCATGTGTGCATGCGCCCTCCTCATCTTGGATCCAATGAACTTCTGTTATCTTGAATACGGTAATGTGGTGTGTAGTTGTGGCTATGGTCAGTTTCATTGTCTACTAACACGTTTATGATAAGAGGAACCGATGCATTAAAAGTTTATCCTTAGCATGCATGCGGCCTTCTGCAACTGGCTTTTGCTGATTGACTTGGTGCTGTCTTTTGTTTGTTTGGAAAATAAACTGGGATGAGACTGGAGCTGCAGGCATACAGTATATAAGAAAAGTGGTATCATCTAATTATAACTTTGTGGACTTCTCACGTCTGGACTGGGGAATTAAGACAGATTATGAATTCTTCTGTTTCACTTTGCCCCTTACCTGATTATTTTGTGGGTAAAGCTCTGCTTTTGGGGCTCATCAATGTGTTTACATCCAAGTCACACTAGTCTCCACAGAACATGTTGAGTCAAAAACTGTATAGTTATTTGTATTCGGTACTTTAAGGTGGTAGTATTATGATGTTGATTCATAAAGGAACTATCTTTTGTATTTTCTAATTCTGAAACTGTCAATAGTTTGGTATCATTTAACAGAAACTTTTCTAAGTGAAACCACTGAATATCACTTCAGTATGTTGCTTGTTTCCTTCTTGCGGTGTTCATAAGTTTGCCGTCGTCGTATTAACCTTGGTACATCGACATAGGTTTATGATTTGCAAAAAGATGCAATTACTGTTAATCAGATCTGAGAACTCTACAACACTTGCTAGCTGGAGTTTTTCTGTCATTATGATATATGATGTTCAGTTGCTAGAAGTATGCCAAACCGGTGCCTGTAATTTGTGTGCCTTTATCCTGTACAAGTGTACCAAACCAGTGCCTGTAATTTGTATGCTTCTTTTTTTTTGGGGGTAATCTTCCTGACTATTGTTTGGTCACTTGAGATTTCTTTATAGTTTAATGTTTTTGTTAGAATTGCTTGTAGTAATGACATGACTTGTAGAGACATTTCATTGTCAAATGTGAGGTTACAAGGAAACATTTGCATTCAGATCTTACCTATACTTTGTATTCCTTATTAACAAACGAAGGATCAAACAAGTGCAGAGCTTTGTTTTTTTGTGTTTGGAATTGAGATAACTTGTCGATATTTGGGACCCAACAGATGAGTATCACCACCATGTTTAGTAGGGTCTATTTTCTAACTGTGTATTATACAAGAAAGCTTCCTTTTAAATATGATTTGGTATTTATAGTGTGGAAATTAGGAATGAATATAATGTGCCAACTCTCAAAGAATTGCTAATATTGCCTTTAGTTAATACATTGATTTGTTACATGTGAAATGCAGATACATTTAACATCAAAAGTAGAATGATGAATGTGCTGGTTTAATGGTATGGAGGATATCATGGTGGAGCCTGACTTTTCTGCTTCCAAGCAGAATCAATGAAATTTAGAAAGTAATCGGCAAGATGGATCACTTTCTTCATTTGCCTAGGTATGTGATCTTTTATGGTACAAGCTTTTAGTGTCTGGTTATTGGAAATCCTTTATATTGATTTAAGATCAATGTAGTTGTGCTAATAAAGGTAGAAACCATAATCTTTATTTCTTTTATGAGTTTGCCTTGGAAGCAAACTCATGATGCTATCATGATGAAAATTGATGAGAAAAAGAGGGAGAATGGTTACTAAATTCTTAATTATGATAGACCACATAGCAACTGAATGTGGCTCTGCAGGTGAGCAGATACAAGTTTCTTAAGTGCATTGGGATGGCTTGCAGTATTATGATCTGAGTTTGCTGGTCACAGGCAAAGACTTGTGTGGTCTCATTTTGGTGACGCAGTCTGAGATAAGATGGCCACCGAAGCTTAAAGATGGTACACAAGCAAGAAGGTTTGATGACATTTGTACTACTGTATGTAGGTTGTTTGCCATGTCCGGCTCTCATCCTATTTCTCATGCTTTGCCGTTCCCTGTCTGCCGTCGTGGCGCTGTTGTTTGTTTGCTTTCGATTACAAGATCCGTGCTAACCACAGCGATGATCGTCTCTCCCGCTGGGACTGAGATTTCGAGAAGACGAGTGCTTCAAGATTCGTGAAAGAAATCATACGCCAAGCGTTTGTGATGAATTCTGTTAGGACGTTTAATCAATACCCTCAAACAGTTAATCCTTTTTGAGATTTTGAGAAGAACGCTTCAAGATTCGTGAAAGAAATCATACGGAGCCTTTGTGATTAACAAGTAATAATTTCTTTTTCCCAAAGGATAGGTAGTGAAAATTTACTTTCTTTTTTCATGAATTTTCTCATCAATCGTTGATATTTTTCATGAATATATATATATATATATATATATATATATATATATATATATATATATATATATATATAGAGAGAGAGAGAGAGAGAGAGAGAGAGAGAGAGAGAGAGAGAGAGAG